GAGGCTGAGGAAGGAGGATGGAAAGTACAGTCCTGGGCAACTCAGCAGCTTGTCAAGACTCGAGATGAAAGATGAAATCTGGCTTCTGGCTTGAGAAATAAGCTAGTGACAAAGTACTCGGTATTGTGATTCTTGCCACTTTAGGAATCTTCTGCATGGCATTGTTCTTATTCTGATATTATTTTTGAGAAATATACTCTCTGTATCAAGCTGTTGACATTTATTACCAAATTGTTACTCTTCAAAGCTCTTAGGGCCATACTTATAACTTATTTTAGATTTTTAGATAGTTGTTCATGAGATATAAGAATAGGCTTGTCACTTCTTAATATTGTACGAACATATCATCTTTATACCCCACTGAATGCCAAATTTGAAATTTCCTGAAGGAAATAGTTAGGATGGTTCATAACAAATGCAACAATGACCCTTCTGAAATATCTCATGATATCAGCCTGTGTTTGTTCCCAATTCTCTTTTAAATAATAGAAGCTGTGAAATTAGAAAATTCCGGAGTATATTAGCTACACTGAGTCTTCATTGTTATCTTGTCTCTGACAGATGTCCCCCCATCAGCGGAACTAATCCGCTGATGAGTATCACAATCATGATCCAATCACCTCCCATAAACCCCATTTATGAGTACACGAGTCTTTGGGGGGACATCTAGGACATCTAAGAGCTATTATTTTATCACCTCCAAAGAAACACAAAAGGGTGACTATGCAGTACTTCTGTGACTGCTATGTGAATAATTTTTCAAAAAAGGAAGATAATTCTGCTTATATTATACCACTGTGCTTTTTAAACATGCTTTAAACATAAACTCTCCACAGGAAGTAAAATTCAGGAAGCCATAATGAATTTCTGTACCACGGGAAAATTTGATTGATTGATTGATTGATTGAATTTTTTTAAGAAATGGTATAAAAAATCATGTTTGAGGGTTAGGAAATAGAATTTTAGTTACACGGTGTTTTGTGATTTAAGAAAATAATCATGAGCCAGGTGTGGTGTGGTGGCACACATCTGTGATTCCAGGATCTCAGGAGAAGGAAGCAGGGGGATAGAAGGTTCAAGGCCGGCTGGACAGCTTAGTGCAACTGTCTCAAATTTTAAACAAAACAAAACAAAAATAGAAAGGGTTAGGATATAGTTTAGCATGCCTTGATTTAATTCTTTCTACTGAAATATTACTACTACTAGGAAGAAAAAGCAACAGTGATAGTGGAAATAATAAGTTGAATCTATTCATATTATATAGGTATTGTTGTTTGTTTGTTTGTTTGTTTGTTTGTTTTTTCTGGTACTGGGAATAGGACTCACGACCTCGCGCTTGCCAGGCGTGCTCTGTCCCCCTGAGCTAAATCCCCAGCCCTATACAAGTATTTTTAATTTTAAAAATTTTAACATAACTCTTTTCTATAAGAATTGCAGAATCCTTATAAAAGAAATACCTATCTTTGGTATCTAACTATGATCATGATAACAGATTGTAATTTTTATTATTTTATTTTCTTTTAAATATCTTGTCTATATGTTACTTCTACTTCATGGTATGTATTTTATCTCACAAAGAATATTTTTAATGGCCTATCAATTATGTTTATAAAAAACACAAAAGCATTCTATACTTAGTGTGTGATGGATTCTAGAGAGTGTCTGAGTGACTTTCTAAAGAGTAAAGCAAAATACCAACTGGACAACCACAACTGTGAGGAGGAGAATTTTATCTGGGCTCATAGTTTGTAGAAGTTTCACGCCATAGTTGGCTGGCTTCAAGGCAGGAGGCATGGCAGAGAAGAGAGAGCCGATAGCACAGCAGCAGGAAGCAAACAGAGGGATCAAGAGAGGAGGAGGAAGAGAAAGACACATCCAAGCCAGGCCCCCAGTCATCAACCTCCTCTAACCAGGCTTCACCTCCCAATTATTTAGCTATAAACACATCAGTGAACTAATCCGCTGATGAGTATCACAATCATGATCCAATCACCTCCCACAAACCCCATTTATGAGTACACGAGTCTTTGGGGGGACATCTAGGTATAAACCATGACACACAGCCAAGCTGTTCACTCTGGAGATTTAGTAGACTGTACTGAATTTCTTTGGATTTTTGTTTACTTATATATACAGTGAATTACTCATAAACTCAAGAGACAGGAAACTTCTAACAACATCATTTTATGATAGCAATATCTACAATGCTTTCAAACCAAATAATCACTTACAAAATTTATTTTTCCTCTTCTCCTTTCCACAGAACACTTCAGCCTTTTAGCTTCTTCCTCTCATCTTCTGTTTGCATACTGATTGCTTTCACCAGCCCATACTTTACCATAGACTTGCTGTGACAGCAAGCATCCTCATTTGTTTTCCTATCTCCTCTTTTAAAAAAAGTCCTAAACTCATTAGATACTTCTCTTCAAACTCAAATCCACCCAACTCTTTTGAAATAGGGCATTATGAGGTTGGATTGCTCATGTTTCTCTCTTCTTCCCCAGAATCCCTCAGGGAAGGGCTATCAGTTACAGGTGCATGAGTGAACTCCAGTAGAATAAATGAAGCAGGAATCTTCACCTTGTTTTGTCCATGAAGAAACAGATACTTCCTTAGAAGGTTAGAAAACAATATGGATACAGCTCCTCAGTTCAGGTGGTTTTAATGGATGACCGTATATGAGCCTGGAATTACTGATGAGGGAAAAACAAACATAAAAATAAAATGTGGGGGAGGACATATTAAAATGTTGAGAACTTTTTCATCATCAGACTAAAAGGCCTGAGTGATAGATTCCAAATATTTTAATACCGAAGCCATTGATTTCTTGAGCCATAATCTGGTATTACTAGTGCCTTGAAATATAATAAGAATTTAATACTTGAAAAATAAATACTATGTGTAAATTGTAGCAAAAATAAACATCCTGAGTTTCTATGAAGATAAATAAAAAAACAACACTTCTAAATAGTATACAAAGTAAAATTTGTATATTAATGTAGAAAAAACCTTTAAGAGGCATATTCAGTTAAAACTATGTAGAGTTCATTCATGATAAAGTAAGAACAGTACAGTTGAACATAACTTTATCTGGGTAGATAGATAATCCACAAGGACATATAGACATGTCTTTTCTTTAGCATGTGGAAACCTCTTGGTGATTTGTGGGACTCTTTTTATCAGGATTAATTGGTATAGTGAACTTTTGCATGGATAGAAAGTGTGGATAAAAGGTGAATTTCAAAGTTAGCTAATATTTGTTGCTGAGAATTTATCAGTGTTGTACAATCATAGTTTTCACAAAATACTTCTTATTCCTTTATATTTTGCATTTTTTATAACATGTGAAATAAACTATATTGACAACTTTAATTAAAACACATACAATGACTATTTGAGCAAAAAATCTCTATGAAACAAAATGCAAATACCTTTTATTTTTTTCTGAGCCACAGAAGTTGTTCTCAACTGTCATTGCGTATCTGCACCTTGAAGGTCACTATCCTCTGAGATGCTCAGTGTGGAGGCAGAGGGTGGAGGAGAAACAGGAGTGGTCTAACTTTCTAATACCTGGTTTTTGGACGTTGGTTCTCAGTAATTATATCAAACCAACCTAAGTGATAAAAGCATATTGAAAAGCCCTACCCCATGAGTCCCAGATATTATTGTTCATACCAGTGAAAGGTGGGAGGTGCATGGACCAGTGAGAATACAGTACATGAACACTCACATATACACACACACACACACACACACACACACACACGTACAAATCTATGCCTTCGCTGATTGGTCCAAGAAAGAGTTTTTAAATTATTTTGGAATACAAATCACCTAAAGTGAATAGTAAACCATCAAGCACAGTGATAACATAGCAAAGAGCTCTAATTTAAACAAGAAAATCTAGCTTTGAAACCAGCCCTGGCATGTATATGCTAAATAACCATGTAGAATCATGTAACCATGAGGGTCATTATAATTATATTCTCTAAGCATATGCCTAGATTTTTCACATCAGGAAATATTTAAGCATATGTTTCCTTATGCCTAAAAGGACTGAATTCTATTGAGTTAGACTCACCAATCTCTAACATCTTTCTATCAACTATTATTCTGTGATTAGAGAGACTTTTGCTATTTTTCCAGTTGCATAACTGCTACTTCCTTATATTTTTGCCAGGTAGATGGTTTAAATGGGAAAATATCAGACTGTCTGCAATGAGTGATGGCAAAGCTCATTTTAATAATGCTGTGACTTTTCTCTTATGTAACATGTACCTCTGTAAATGAAAAGAAAGGGCTGGGGATTTAGCTCAGTGGCACAGTGCCTGCCTGGCAAGTGCAAGTCGTGAGTTCGATTTCCGGTTCCGGAAAAAAAATAAAAATAAAAAAATAAATAGTCCACGGCCTATAATTATCACAGGTCTCACATATTTTAGCTAAATCTATTAACTTTAGAGTTGGGGTTTCAGAAGAGACTTAAAGAATGATTTTTAGACTTGCTAAAGATTTAGCCTAAGCAGATTCAAATCTGCCACTTGGGAAATGTGCAGTCCCCGTGACTGCTAAGAAGTTCTGTTTTCTTCTAAATAAATTTGAGAGACTAATAGCACCTACCTCACAAGGTTGCTAGAGAAGTAAATTAGATAATACTTTGAATATTATCATAGCTATAACATACAATTCTTGAGGAATATTTATTCTTCACATCACATATCTATTAATAAATAGCTATTTCCCATCATAATAATTGCAAGAGTAGGAGGGCGGGAGATTTTTATGTTTACATAAACAGTTGCTCCCACAGTCATCTTGTAGCTTTGCTCGAAAGTTTGCAGGAAAGAGGGTGACTCTAAAAGGTTAAAACTAACGTGATACGTTGTGTCTGCTTTTTGATACTAGATATTTTAAACGTCTTCCCTGTTTATAAGGTGATCCTATTTACTTTTCAAGCCTGACACACAGCTGAGTATGCTCCGTTTTTTGTTTTTTTTTTTCAGTGACTATTGACCCTACTAAGCCAGAAGACAGTGCCGCTGGGAGTGGGGGTGACTCAGATCTTCAGGAAGTGGCCTCCCTGAAGGAGCGGATGGCGAGATACCAGGCAGCTGTTTCCAGGGGCGACTGCCATAGCTTCTCAGCTAACGTAAGCTGATGCTTTTGTTTAGCCACCGTCTGCTTGTGCAAAGACTCGCCTCACTTTTGCAAGGCAAGCATAATACTAGGCAGAGGGATAAAGTCAAAAGAGGGCAAAAGTATCGTGTATCAAATTCATACCTCTGAATTTAACCATCGACCGTACTACGCATTGGTCATATGAACTTGAACTACTTCCTATCCTAACCTTTCTCTACACTTCAGGTTCATTAACTCAGAAAAGGAGCATATCGCCTACCACATTGAGTCTTGATGAGATATCAAGGAGACAATTTATAAGTAAGCCATAAGGCACTGAATAAATGTGTTATTATTGTCATCATTATCACTTAACCTATAACTATTCTCTACAGGAAGACTGGGAATTAATTTCAAATTTTAATAATGTGAGTTTGCATGCTGCCCTTCTTGGTCTCATGTATGCTTCATTTAAAATTCTCTGGCAGTATAATTTCTTTGGTTTCCTCTGTATGCACTAAATCCATTAAGAGAGGTTTAATCAACATAGAAATGAGAGAGATTAGCTATGTAGGCACTCTGCTAAACCAATTATGAGTATAGGAAACTTCAGAATTCAGTAAAACCACCAATTTTTAGAGCCAATAAGTAATAAATTCACATTCAACAGAATTTTCTGTCTTCTATATTCTCTGCCCTTCAGCTTAATGGCATATAAGAATATTCTTTTATAATTATATTCTCTAAATTAGCTATGTTGTGTTTGTGTGTTTGTGTGTGTGCGTGTGTGTGTGTGTGTGTGTGTGTGAGAGAGAGAGAGAGAGAGAGAGAGAAATGAGCCCAAGACACAGTATTTTGAAATAGTTACTCAACATTATTCTTTACAAATTATTTAGGGACAATGTTGACTGTGCCACACTCATTAACTATACTGCAGTTCTAGATGACATTTAAGTTTTTACATAGTCATTAAAATACATTGTAGACACACCATTAATTTGGAATGAATGTACAGAAGTGACATAAGTAGCTTGAAAAACAAATAGACTCACAAGGCCTCCTGTCAGTCTTCTTAGAGAGCACCCCCTGCTGGATCGTTCAGGAACTTTATTGCAAATTCTAAACTGGAGAAATAATTTTGGGGAAAACAGCTTATTTGATTGTCCTGGTTAAAGACTGTTTAGTAATCCATCTTTCATTTAGGAAGATTTTGATCCTTCCAGGTTCCCACATAGAATTCTATACAACAAATTGGCATTGGCATAGTCTGTACTAAACAGAAAAGGCTTAAAATAGGCAAATAGGTAAATTGTTTAATATGAAATTTTAAAATCAATGCTAATCTGAAAATCATCTATACATAAGGATTTCATAAACTTTTTATTTTCCTTTTATTTTCTTCCCATGTATCAGACCAAAAATCGGCCTTAACATTACTTTTAGGAGATTATACAATAAGTCAAGATAAGTTCCTGATTTTTTTGTTTGTTTGTTTGTTTTTTGTTTTTTTTTTTTGTTTTTCTCCGGTACCAGGAACCGAACTCATGACCTTGCACTTGCCAGGCAGGCACTTTTGCCGCTGAGCTAAATCCCCAGCCCCAAGTTCCTGATTTTTAACATCAGTAATCTTTTAACTGAATTCAGTTTCTGCCTCTCATACAAGACAGCATTTTTGCCTCAAAAGTATCTAACTTGGTTTGACTTTAACCAAATATTGTTATAAAGAACAGTATATCTATCATCCCACAGGAATCCTGCTGAATATATACAATAAGAAAAAATAATTACCTGTTTAGTCATGCAATTACCTTGTTTAATTTCATAAAATGTTTGTTCAATCCCCCCACACAAAAAATATCAAAACTACTTGTAGCTAGATCTCTGTCCCAATCATTTTAAGTATAAAATCTGGAACTCATGGGTATAAACTTAAAGTGAATTTAAGATATTTTAATCATGCTTTGATAGCTAGCAAGGGTCTCAATCTCTCCTTATCTCATATCCAACCAAATAGCACTTGGCTGGAGAGGGAAAGAAATATTGTTAAGCAATGAATTAAAATGTCAGATTCTGTGCTGCTTTATTTTATTTCCTTTATCTTTTTAACACTCACAATAAATCTGTGTAAGATATATTGTTATGTTCAGCTTATTAAAAGGAGGTTCAGAAACTCTAGCCCAAAGTTTTCTCAGGACTTGGTTAGAATCACTATCTGTCCAACTTACAAAGTTATGTTATTTCCATTAGGCCAAGGGTAGCTCTTTGTAAGCAAAGTTGATATCTGTGCAATATATTTACCTAAGTTTGAGTGTTAGGTATTTCAATTAACTTGATATTATTGACATATCCATTTGAACTCAAATCTTATTTCAAAACCAAAGAATAAGAAACAGAATAAGGTAAACATAAAAAGGGTTGACACAAAGCAGTCCCAGTTATGTGGTTATTAATAATAATGTAAGTTAGTTGGGATATTTAGAGTACGGTGTGTGATTGTTAATTGTGATATCTCAACTTGACTTGAGTGAGAATAGTCTAGCAGATTAGTAAAGCTCTGTGTGTGTCTGTGGATGACTCACAGGTAGGCTCCAAACAGGAGGGAAGACCCCCTCTAGATATGGATGGCACCAATTAATACACTTGTAGCTTGGATGGAATAAAAAGAGAGGGAAGAAGAAGTTCCAGTCTTCACTATTTCCTTGGATACCCATCTCCACTTCCTTCAGGCTTCCAGGAGAGACCTTCAGCTTTCCAACATGGAGTCACCACCAGTCTCTCCAGTTAGCTCCAAGCCTGTGACCTTTGACTGGATTCTCCAGCTGTCCAGCATACAGACAGCCATTTTGTATTCTTTCACCCTTGATCTCCTGATTTCATAGGCAGTCATTGCAAGCTTACTTTGTAAATCCTTTATATAATCGTATATACTTCATATTAAATTTATTCCCCTAGGGAACTCTGTTACAGGTTTTGGTAGTGAAGAAGTGGAGCCATTGCTGTGATGCTACCTGACCATATAGTTCAAAAGCTTTGGGAAGTGGTTCTCAGGAGTTTAGAATGTTTTAGAGATGCCATCTGTAGAAGCAGCTGTAAAATGCTATAAGCTGAGCTTAAAGGGAGATTCTGGTTGGAACTCACAAGGCCAGAGTGCTGGTAGAAATGTAGATGGTGAAAACCAGGTTCAAGAGGATTCAAATGAAAACAAGGATTCCATTAACAGATTGACTCCAGGCCATGTGTATTATACCCTGACAGAAAACTTGTCTACTTTTTTTCATGTCCTCAAACTAGTACAGGAAACTGAGAATAAGACCAGTGGACTAATTAATATGATGGAGGAAATTTCAAGGCCGCCCAACATTTGGGCTGTGGTATGCATACAGTCAGGTGCCTTTAGTCACATTTATCCTAAAAATTAAAAGGAAATGGCTTATTTTAAAAGTTTTCAGTTTGGGCAGAAAGAAAGAGCCCACAAAGATAGTTCAGATAATAGCTTGATTTCTGGAAAGGGGAGCATTAAGAATAAGCAGAGTATTTTCAGTCAGGACAATAGGAAAAATGGTTAAAGGTCATATCAGGAATCAGCAAGCCCTCACCTTTTTAAGGGCTTGAAATTGCAAAACTGAAAGACTTTGCCTTGAGAAAAAAGACCCAGGACACACTCCTCAAGAACACCTACCCTGGGAATTGATTTCCCTGAATTCAATTCACAGTGCTCAGTCATCCAGCTGCTTGGAAGGTTCTCCAACCATGATACAAGGGAGTACAGCTACTACTTGAGCTGGTCCCAGATGCTGGCATCATCCATGTGGTGCTGGTTTTACAGGCATGTACAGTGAAAGAGTTGTGGAGTCAAGGAGGTTTTTTACCCCAATTTCAGAGAAAGACCTAGGATGACAGCACTGTGTCCCGAGAGGACAGTGTGTGAAGCTGTGAGAGTGAAGCCAAAAGTGCAATAGAGACTCCAGGAAATGCTACACCACCAGCATGGAATGTCTGAGGGAGGTCAAAAGCAATGAACAAAGCCAGCCTAAAAGAGAGCCCATGAGAGCTAAAATCATCAATGATGTTGTAGGTGTGGTGCCACCCAAGCCGTTTGGAATTCCATCTCACCACATTTTGCCCAGGTGCTGGACATGGAGCTATTGTTTACCCTGCTGGGATTCTGTCTTGCTTTATTCATATTGCTTTCTATCCCACTGTTTCTCCATTTTGGAACAGGAAACTTTACATGGTGTCATTGTGTGTTGGCAGTGTTTAACTCCTTTTTGATATTTACAGGAGCTCACAGCTAAGAGTGTCCCTTAACTCTCAGAGGAAATTTTGAACTTGTAGTTTTCAGCAATGCTGGGACTGTTAAAACTTTGATGACTCTTACAGATGGAGTAAATGCACTTTGCATAAAGAGATGTGCATGAGCCTTTTAGGTGCCAGGAGCAGAATGTTAAGGTTTATATCTAGATATTCCCACAAAGCCTCATGTGCTCAGAGGTGAGCCTTTTGGAATGTGATTGGACAATGAGGGATGTGTAGCTGATTAGCTATTAACAGGTGAGGGGCTTGTTAAAAAAGGTGGTCAGTGAAGAGTAGGGTTCATCTCCCTCCCCAGCTCCTTGCTTTGTTTTCTGCTTCCTGGACCTACCAAATAAGCAGCTGCCCCTTTCCCATTCCCCTCTGACATGCCATACTACCATGGAGGCAGCTGACTATGGACTGAAATGTGAAGCAGAATAAAATTTTTTCAGTATTATGCCCCAGACACAAAAAAAGTGACTAAAACACAGTGCTAACAAGGCACAAATCACAGAAGTGACCTCACCTGAGAAAAGCAGAGACACTCCAGCCATGGCTACTGGCTGCCCCTTGAGCAAGCCCTATGTTCTCCCCTGTGTAGACCTTGCTCCACAAGCTGAGCCCAAGGACACCTTAGGACCACCATTGACATCTCAGAACCTTTCTCTCAGTTGGGTGGATGGGCTGCTGTTGTACCTGGTAATACCAGGGGCAAGAAAAGCACAGTGAATGCTACTGGGAATAATAATCAATTGCACACACTTTTTCTTGTGTAATGTGGTCCAACTCCTAAATGCAAGGCTAAAGGAGAGGAATGGTATATCTGGGTTTTAATTCATGTAATAGAAGGGAGGTAGCCTGTCCAAGGTGCTAACTGATATTTTTGTGATAATACACTTATTGGGAGAGTATCCAGTTCTTTACATAATTACTGAGGCTTATCAGATTGATTTGCAAATGATTTTTACACTGTTGATAGTTGTTTGAAACTGTAAGGTTCTTCTTAACAATAAGTACCTAAATTCCTGTAACTTAATACTTTTATATTAATATGCATATCATCTATTCAGAGAGACTCTTACGTACATTAAGGGTAGATGAGATAAAACAAATATTATGATCTTAATTAACCCTTCCATTTCTTTACTCTTTCTTAAATTTCAAAAGAGATATCATACTTTCTTATGACCTTTTCTTGTATCAAGTTGCAGTAATTGATTAGAATTTAAAGTATGTTGTAGAATTTGATAAAATACATATCTAGTATATAGAAATATACAATCATATCTCTTCTTTCCATGGAGCATTTTCTGAAATATCTGATAGTGCATGGAAATGAGGAAAGGTTAACTCAGGAATTCAGCCACCGGAATATTCACTAGGTTCAGATAATCCTGCGTAGCAGTTCAGTCTCCAAAATTCTGGAGTAGGGGAATCAAATCCTAAAATAAATGCTGTATTTTTAGAGTCTGTTTGAGAAACTGCCTATTCCAGAACCCAGGTGTCCACAGCCCATGATTTGGGAGCCTCAGCTCCCAGGCCTCCAATTTCAAGGCCTTAAAGCGTCCAGGGTTATGTCAGGACTGCACCAGACCTCAGGAGACCTGCTGTGCTTTGAAGAGTGCTGTGTCTCCTTCCAGCTGCAAGCAGACTTGGAAGCTTCCTGGAGAAAAGCTTGGTGTGGGTTCCATGTGCTCGAGAGCTGTCATCCCATCTGGGCTTGAGTGCCTTCTGGGCTCTCGGGTGCACTGATTCATCAAAAGCAAAGTCCTCAGCAAGTCCTGCACTGCCTGCAAGGGTACAAGATCTAGACAGGACCCTTCCTTGTTCTGGAAATTGCTTCTGGAGATATGTAATGGCATCACTTTTTTCATCTGTAAAATGACAAGGAGAGACTAGACTTTCCTAATGTTAAAGCCCTGATTCGGCCCTTCCAGTGAGCACTCAGAAGGAACCTTGGAGGAGCCGGTCCTGGAGTGATGGTGCAGTGTTCCTATGCTATTCTTTGAGGATAGTGATTAAGACAAACAAATGTGATTCAAACTTTCATGCCAATGTTTTCATGTTACAGCTATGACAACTTAACAACTATTTTACTTGCCCCAACCCTCCATTTCTTTACTTTATCTTTTGGATAAATGGTATCCATTTCTCATGGAATAGAGGAAGGCATTAACTAACAGAACATTACATATATATACATATATGTATATATGTGTGTGTATATATATACACACATATATAGATGCATATATATATATATAAAATCATCCATCCCTATGCCTTGAACAACTGTTGTTATTACTATTGATATTAATATTCTTACATAAGTCATGTTCAGAGACACTTTATTTTGTTCATCTTTAATAATTAAAATAAGTTTTGCAGTCAAAAAGACTTCAATAATTATTCTTAATGTTTTGCTTATGAAATGTTTTATATTTTGACAACAATTAGTTGTTGGTAAAAATTGAATCTATTATTCTAATATGCACTACTCCACTAATATATTAGTAGAGAAATTTATTTTAATAGGTCTAATCTCCAGACATCAAAATTTATTTGAGATGAGAAGTAAGTCAATATTTTGAAAATTCTTCTGACTGCAGCTTGGAGAAAGTACTTTTATTAAGGAGTTCAGTAAAAGCTACTGAAATACTTGTGCAAACAAATATATTTGAAATATGCCTTATCAGTAATTATCAACAATCACAAAAATAACATGACAATCCCATTCTTGGCGATGCAAAGATTAACTTTCCGTTTTCTTAAATCATCCCAGATGATGGAGGAATCCAAAATGTGCACAGTGCCTGGTGGTTTGGCCAAGGTGAAGAAGCAATTTGAAAAGGATGAAATTATTTCTTCCTGTGATACTTTTTCTCAATTCCACCAGAACAGAAGTGAGCAGGTAATACCTATGGGTGATGGATAAATCATCTATGACTGAATTGCTCTCACCAGTGCAAACTCCCCTTTCTTTGGTGAAGATTTATGATCATTACTCATGTTGAAAATGTTATGCAAGGTACAATGGCACGTGCCTATAATCCCAACTTCTCCAGAGGCTGAGGCAAGAGAATCATAAGTTTGATGGTAGACTGGACAACATAGCAATACCGCTTTTCAAAATAAAGATTTTTAAAGGTCAAGCATGGTGGTGTGTGCCTGTAATCCTGGCACTGTGGAAGCCTGAGGTAAGAGGATTGCAAGTTTGAGCCAAGCCTGGGCAATTTTAGCAACTAGTGAGACCTGAGAGAGAGAGAGAGAGAGAGAGAGAGAGAGAGAGAG